GTTGGGTGGGGTGGAAGGATGGGGTGGAGGTGGGAGGGGTTAGGGGTGGGAAGGACACTGGGATTATTAGTGATGGAGAATGGGCACTGGTGGAGGGATGAATGCTTGATCATTGTAAGACTGAAATGTAGGCACGAAAGTTTGTAAGTCTGTAACTATACCTCATGGTGATACGTTAAAAATATTTTCAGAAAATGGACTCTCTCTGTCTCTCTCTGTCTCTCTCTCTCTCTAAATATATATATATGTAAGTCTATATATAAACTTACCAAAAAAATTATGGATTATTTTTTCTATATTGCTTTTGGATATCTAGCTGGATAGTAAAAGTATTTTATTTTTGTTATCTAGTTTGTCCATCTATTATACTGATGGCTGGAGCGATAGCACAGCAGATAGGGTGTTTGCCTTGTACGTGGCCAACTTGGCCGACCTAGGTTCGATTCCTCTGCCCCTCTCAGTGAGCCCGGCAAGCTACCAAGAGTATCCCACCCACACAGCAAAAGCCTGGCAAGCTACCTGTGATGTATTTGATATGCCAAACAAAATAACAAGTCTCACCATGGAGACGTTACTGGACCCACTCGAGCAAATAGATGAACAATGGGAGGACAGTGCTACAGTGCTATTCTGATGTATTCCCAATTACTTGTATGTAATTCCCAATTTTGGGTTCCTTTTGGAAATAAAATAAACAGAATGATCTCAATAAGCAGTTTGAAGATACTTTACATTCTTTATGTGTGCATGCCACAAAGGAATAAGGAATAGAGAGATAGCAATACGGCACTTTCCTGCACATGCTGGACGTTAGTTCAGTCCCTGGCACTGCATGGCTCTGAAGCACTGCCAGAAGTGTTCTCTGAGCACAGAGACAGGAGGAAGCCCTCAGCATAGCCAGGTGTAGCCTAGAGCACCATCCTTGAAAACATAATGCTTTGTATCATAGATTTATTATCTCTTTGATATTTTTGGAAAGAACAACTTTAATATCTCTAGTTCCATAAAGAAAATTTGATAATTTATGCAGCACTCCATAAATGTTTCATATTGGAACATATAACAAAGAACATAAGTTATGTGTAAGCTATGTATTTTATATTTTTTGAGAAACAACTTAAGCATCCAGTATCCCTTGAAAAGTCTAAATAGAATCCTTATAACCTATTCCAATATGTGCTGAATAAATGAGCGAGTCAAGGATAGCGATCTCTCCAAAAAAAACAGAATTCTGTGACATTATACAGCAGCATCAGCCTCTGGAGATGGGGAGGTAAGAATGTTTTCTTCAGAAAGATATAAATAAATTTGTCAAATCTTATACAGCTTAAGAATATAGCATGCAGAACTGCATAAATGGGAAACAACACAGTATGCTAAGCACACCAAAGAAAAACAGCATGGATATTTCAAAGCCCTGAGGATCTCAGGAGTGAATTAACAATTAGAGGGTTTAGGGGTAACAATATGGTAGGGAAAGTGGTAAATCTTATTTTGGACTTGGAGAGATAGTTCAGTGCGCACACTTGCCTTGCTACAGCTAGCCTAGGTTCAATCCCCAGCATCACTTATGATCCCTTGAGTCGTCCCTGAGCACAGTGACAGGACTAAGTCATGTGTCCTACTACATGTGACCCAAAAAAAACAAAGAGAAAGAGAGAGAGAGAGAGAGAGAGAGAGAGAGAGAGAGAAGAGAGGGAGAGAGAGAAAGCAATGAATCTTTTTAGTTGTATTGTATAACAAGAAGGGTTTTTTTCCCTTTCTCTCTCAATTGCATTTCTAATGGGATCTTTTACAGGACAGCTGATAAAATCTATTGAGGAGCAAAAAGGACCTATCACCCCTTCCCTGAAACATTGGAGAAGAGAAAAGCAGAAGTGAAAGGAAAGGTAACTGAGGGAAGTAAAGAAGATATTTTATGCTGAATTAACTGGTTTGGGTGAGTTATTTTAGCTTTCTCTCATACACTGGTTTCTGACAAATGTCCTCCTTCACATGGGTCCTTATTTGAACAAAGACTACCATTATTCTTTCTTCTTTTCCTCTTCAACAATGCCAGTCCAAAGATACAAAATTAAAGGTTAGTATATTTCCTTTTACAGGGAAAAAAATGGCTAATTCTAATTTCTTCTCCTTTCTCTTGATTCTTTTCTTGCCTCACAAACTAGCTTCAAGCAAATTAAATATAATTCCATAATTAAGTCCATTGTGGGAAAAAAAGTCTATTTACCACTATAACTAGAGAAGGCAAAGGAAGTCTAGGAGGAAGAATGGAATACTTATCAATATTAAAGATATCAGTACTATATCTTTTTTCAACCTTACCAAAAATCATTGTGTAATTGACACTGTAGCACTGTAGCACTGTCCTCCCGTTGTTCATCTATTTGCTGGAGCAGGCACCAGTAACGTCTCACAACAACCTGTGAAACTTGTTGTTACTGTTTTGGGCATATCATATACATCACGGGTAGCTTGCCAGGCTTTGCGGTGCGGGCGGGATACTCTCAGTAGCTTGCGGGGCTCTTCGAGAGGGCGGAGGAATTGAACCCGGATTGGCTGCATTGCTGTGCTATCACTCCAACCCATAATTGACACTATTAAAAGTAATTTAAATAGTGTTCGCTTCAGCAGCACATATACTAAAAGTAATTTAAATAATAGCGAAAGATAAAGTGAAGGAAATAAATTCCCTCATGTGTCTGTTACAGGAAGAGAGGGCTACTGTTACCTATGACATTCATAAATTAAGTCATTCAAAGTGACTTCAAGTATTTGCATACAGAAAAAAAGGCAATGGATACAATGTATGAATGTGGGGTTATGGTATATGTTTCATCAGCTTTTCTCATTCTACCATTTCTACTCAGCCTTCTCCGTTATGACAGTATAATAAAAAATAATACAGTCCTTTATGTGATAAATCTGCAATAATATTTAGGCAACTGTTGGGGAAAATATGAAACAATAAACACACAGTTGAAAATAACAAAAGATGAGTCATGGTGGATAAAGTAGCAAAAGCAAAAATTAGGACAATTAAAATTCCTAAAGTGTAGATTAATTTCAAGAATAAAAACAAAAACTAGGCAATTAAAGGCATGTTATTGCTATACAAAAAGGTGAAAACACAGGATAACATTATTACAGATTATGGTAGTACTCATAATTATGAAATTGATTGTTACAGATTAAAAAATATCAAGATACCCCTAAAGGACTGGAGAGGGAAAAAGCGATACAACCTTTTGGGGTCTCTATTATAGCACTGATGATCGTGAACAAAACAGAAAATAATGCTTGTATTTCTGTGTAGCAGGACAGAAATACATTTCTGTCATAGACTTCTCTTACTTAGAATCAGTGTAAGAATCTTAGAGGTCTAGCACAAAGACAAGAGAGTTGAGTAGAATCATATGAACGGGTGCTAGATTCTGACTTTAGTATTTCATTATCTCTGTAACCAGGTAAAATATAATTAAGCTTTTGTGAGTCTATTTAGTCTCTTGAAAATTGGAGGTAAATGAGTGTTATCTAGAGTTGTACTGAAGATTAAATGAGTTACTTCATCTGAGTGAGTTTGCGACAGTGTAATATGTTTACAGCATGCTTAATAATAATTAGTCATTATCTGTTCAGTCACATAAGAACACTTCAGGACAAATAAAACTAATATGGGAAAATTGGAAATGCATACCAAAAACATCAAATACAAAAACTGAAGGAAGAAAAGAACATATTAATAAGTACACAGAAAATTATATAAACTATATAGGGAAACATAAAAATGCACCCAAGATATAAAAAAAAAACAGAGAAGGGTAGAGAAAATAGCATATTATAGATAACAAATTTAAGAAAAAAGTAATAACAGGTGTCTTATATTAAAGAAGAGCATATGCAGACACTGATTCTAACAGAATTTTAAAAATCATATTCAAGGTAACATGATAACAATATTGTTAATGTTTCCAACTTAGTTGTACAAATTTACTTTACCTACACTGCAACCAAATGATGTCCAAGATCCTCTGATACTGTCTGTAAATCACTTTTCTGACTCAGCATTCTAAAATCAAAGACTTTTCCCCATTTCCCAGTGAAGAGTCTGGAAAAAGATCATTTCCTAAGTCAGGGATATTCGCAGTTTATCAGTTTTGATCTTGACTTCATACTCTTTCCTTGAAAAACTCAAAAAAAATTAACTCAGATTCAAATAAACATAAAAGTTATCATCAGTGCAGACCAGGGAGGTAAGTCAGAGACTGGAGCATGTACAGGTCCCAAGTTCCATTCTCAGCACCTCATAACTCTTGGACACTGCTGGATGTGGGCCTAATAGCCCCCAAATCTCCATCCCTAGAACTATCACATCAACAGGACCTAAAATTGACCCTGCACATCTGGAGTGCCACAGGAATTATGACAGTAAGTGACCCTGAGGCCTTCTAATACTGCTTGGGAAATTCCAAAAATATTGTAGCACTGTAACACTGTCCTCCCATTATTCATCATTTGCTTGAGTGGGCCCAGCAACATTGTGAAACTTGTTGTTACTGTGTCTGGCATATCAAATACATCACAGGTAGCTTGCCAGGTTTTGCCATGTGGGCAAGATACTCTCAGTAGCTTGTCGGGCTCTCTGAGAGGGGTGGAAGAATCGAACTTGGGTCTACCGGGTGGGCCGCATGCAAGGCAAATGCCCTACCTGCTGTACTATCACTCCAGCCTGGAAACCAAAATGCCTACAGAAAGTAGTTTGTCCTTGAACCATATTTAACTTCAAGTCTGTAAATTTTCAGCATAATTTCCACAATCTTGTGCTGTGTTAGTCAAACCAGAGTTGATCTCTCAGTGCATTTTCATCACCAGTAAAATAAATATATTTTTTGATTGCAGGGGCTGTTCCATGAATTTCTTTAAAAGTGAAAGTGTTTGTTAAATCGAACCAAAATTCCCTGAGTCATGTCCTTTTCTGAACCCAAAGGTCATATGGACACATGGAGACAGGGAATTATTCAACAGTGACTGAATTCTTTCTGGTGGGACTGTCCCAATACCCAGAGCTTCGGATTTTGCTCTTTGTCCTTTGCCTCATCATGTACGTGATAATCCTCCTAGGAAATAGCCTTCTCATAATTATCATCATCCTCGATTCTCGCCTCCACACCCCTATGTATTTCTTCCTTGGGAACCTCTCATTCTTGGATATCTGTTACACATCATCATCCATTCCCACAATGCTGGTGATGTTTGCATCTGAAAGAAAATCTATGTCCTTTCTTGGCTGTGCTCTACAGATGTTTCTGTCTCTGGGATTAGGTTCCACTGAGTGTGTCCTCCTGGCTATGATGGCATATGACAGGTATGTGGCCATTTGCAGTCCACTGAGATATCCCACCATCATGAAGAAGATGTTATATGTACACATGGCTGCATGGTCCTGGATCATGGGCGGTCTGAATTCCTTACTGCAAACAAGTCTGGCAATGACATTGCCTTTCTGTGGTAGTAATGTTATTGATCACGTAACCTGTGAGATATTGGCCCTGCTTAAGCTCGCATGTGCAGATATTTCCATAAATGTATTCATCATGGCAGTGGCAAGTTTTGTTTTATTGATAGCTCCTTTGATGCTAATTTGTATCTCCTATGTTTTCATTCTCTCTTCCATCCTGAGAATTAATTCTGCTGAAGGGAGAAAGAAAGCCTTCTCTACCTGTTCATCCCATCTGACTGTAGTCATCTTGTTTTACGGTTCAGCCCTTTTCATGTACATGAAACCTAAGTCGAAGGACACAACTGTTTCTGATGAACTAATTGGGCTGTCCTATGGCGTGATCACCCCAATGTTAAATCCCATCATCTACAGCATGAGAAATAAAGATGTGAAAGAAGCTGTGAAGAAAATACTGAACCGACATTTGCAACTATAGAAAAAAGAAAAAGAAGGAAGAAGAAGAAGAAGAAAGAAAGAAAGAAAGAAAGAAAGAAAGAAAGAAAGAAAGAAAGAAGGAAGGAGGAGGATAAGAAGATGCTGACACATAGGATGACCTCATAGAACAGGGTCATCAAATAATTTACAGTCACAAATAAAGTCCCTTAATAGAGTCTCAACAGAAATAATCTGCTAATAAAGCAAAATATAAACTTCAGATTCATTTCCAATTAATATGTTTGTATAAATGTTCTCAACAGTGTCATGTCTACAGAGTTTCATATATATGCATATATATGCATATATATATATATATTTCTGATAAGCCCCATGTAAGGCACATAGCTTTTCCTTAAGATAAACTTATCTCCTCTCTGCTCTCTTATTTTCTCTTTCTGTCTCTTCCTGATTTTCTCAGAATCTTCCCTTTACCTTTCTCTTCCTCCTTATACCTCCATATCTTCCATCTATTTATTTTACTTTTCTAACTTCTAGCATCATTGTCTCCCACCTCATTAACTTTGAACTAAACATCCATTGTTTTCTGATAGCATCACCTCTGCACTTTTCTGTTTGACTATTCAACAAACTCTTCTATTGAGTCCATATGCTACTATAGGCTGACTCTATAACCTTTTAACAGTGGCAAATTCACAGCAAAGGCCTAAGCATTCAATAAAGAAAATGTCTCTAGTTCCAATGACTCCTTCAGCACAGAAGAACCAGACTAAACAAACTCAATCCAAGAAGGCTATCTTAGTATGGAAAAGATATGCTCTTTCTTTCAGTATGGCCTAACTGGAAAAATGTGACCCTGTGGATAATTGACGAGGAGAATCTGAGAAAGTAAAACTAAGGTAAAGCATTTGCTCAATGATGTCACTTTAATTCCCAAGTCCAATTGTGACTAAAAATCAAACAGTACATTTTATTTATAAAAGTTAAATTACCATTTTATCAAAACTAGTTTTAATCAGATTTGTAACTTAAAATCACATAAAACCTAATTTATGCATCCTCTTACCTCACATTTCATTCTATCTACTCACACTTTTGATACCAAATATACATGTAAACATATATATGTATATATTAAAGTATTTTTAAGTTTTGCAGCCTATAAGTATTTATTCACCTTTCCTACTAAATTATAATATTCTAACCTCTATTCTGTTAACAATAGATAATCCAAGCACCACAACTTTTTCTAGGAAGTATTTTAATATTCCCAATGTCTTGTTCTTATGTTTTGCTCCAAAACTAATCTCTAGAATTTGGGGGCTACTTAATCTATATTTTATAGATATATTGATATTTTATATCACTGTAAGTTTCTTTCCTGTTTGGTACTAAGTTTTTCAAAGAGATTGTCATTTGACAAAATACAGCTAGTGTAGTTTTTTGTACAGCACTAGCAATAGGCAAGAAAGATTCTCCTAGGATGCTGCATATCTGATGTTGTATATCTGATGTTGATGCAGAAGCCATCAATTTCTTTACAGTAATGCAATTGGTTCTACTATTTAAAGTTGTTTATTTTGAACTCAGTGTGGTTTTCATTAATGAAAACAAGGAAAATTCACTATGAAGCATTAGGAGCTAATTACTTTAGCCTCTTTATCCTATTACCTTACTATTATTTTAACTTACCATCTTATACTAGAGTATGGTAGTCTTCTGAAAAAGAATGCAACAGGAGCCAGGGAATAATGAAAGGGGCTGAAGCACGTGGCTTTCATGAGCTAAGCTCTGACTTTGATCTCTGGCACCACGAGTTCCTCTAAGCACTGCCTAGTTGTCTCAAGGCTGACCTAAGCATCACTGCATTGCCTTCAAGTTCAAGTCTTGAATTAAACAGTAGGAATGATCCAAATCACTGAGTACTGCTAGGGTGCCCCCCCCCTCTCTCTCTCTATACATATATATATTATATAGGCTGAAGCGATAGCATAGTGGGTAGGGTGTTTGCCTTGCACAAGGCCGACCAGGGTCCGATTACTCCACCCCTCTCGGAGAGCCCAGCAAGCTACCAAGAATATTCAACTTACACGGCAAAGCCTGGCAAGCTACCCATGATGTATTCGATATGCCAAAAACAGTAACAACGTCTCGTCTCACAATGGAGACATTACTGGTGCACGCTCGAGCAAATCGATGAACAATGGGAAGGACAGTGGACAATGCTCTCTCTCTCTATATTTATATATGTGTGTGTGTGTGTGTACATACATATATAATAGTTTTGTTTTTACTAATATTAAATAATATCTTCATGCCTTAGCATGAAATCAGTTGGCCAAGAGTGACCCAAGGTCCCACTGAGTACCATCTGTGAGGCCAAAAAAAGAATAATATATTGACAGTATTTTGAAGCTTTCTTATATCCTAAATGACATAAATGACTTATATCCTACTACATGACATAATATGTCATTGCTAATCAGGACAAAGTGAATACTTAGGTATTAGACTAATTGTATTGAAAAAATTAAAACTCTGTCTACACTGTGTCCATGCCGTAATGAGAAAATGTACACCTGAAAAAAACAAAATCACAACTACAAAGTGTGGTAGTAGAGTGAAACATGTTGCATAACTGAAGTGTAAAGAATAGTTTCTCTATTAAAAGTATGTCTCAGGTTCACACTTACAGTATAATTGTCCGGTGCTTTTTTGCACAAAGTCAACCCGGGTTCAATCTATAGCATCTATATGGTTTCCTGAGCACCACAAGCTGTAATTCCTATGTGCGGAGCCAGAAGTAACTCGTGATTATTGACAGGTACGGCCTAAAATCTAAAAAGAGAAGAAACACTATTCTTTCATCATCTTAATCCATGGTGTAATTAATATAAATGAACTAAAATAATCTATACTAAACTGAGATGACACTTGGCTCCTAATATTTAGCTCCTATTTAATATGAGCTAAAATAGTTTCTTCACTGAAATAAATGTTTTAACTAAAGCCAAAACCATCTTTGAGATTCTGGAAGAACATAAATATTAAGAGAATTCAAATACTTTAAGACTTTAAGAATAGATAATTAAGGGGAGATTTTTTGCCAGTTCTCCAATGCTGTCATTATCTTCACCAAAGGAAGAAGTAGGAGGGTCTTAGGTGCACTGATCATGAAGGTTCTGTCAAACTACCATCATGTAATGTAATTATAAAAATATAAAAACATCTCAGTATCTATATCTAAAATTAGGAATGACTTTCATTTTCTTCTTTGAACTCTCATAAATTTCCAAATATTCTGCAATTAAATTATATTTTTCCAATAATTGAAGAAAAACTCAACTCAAAAGAAGAAAACTGTTTTTTAAATAAGTACAACTATGTCTTTGAGACATTATTTCTAATACATTTACAAGTTACTAAGTATAGCATGACTTAAAGATTCAACTTTAAATCACTTTGGGGACTGCAGAGTCTCTTAGAGAAAATAAGAGTATTTAAATTATTTAGTAGTATCACAAGTGTGTCCTCTGGAAACATTCAGGGCCCAGAGGTTAAACATGTGACTGACTGTCTTAGAATGATACCAATTTATAACATGAATTTCTGCTGGAAATGAGAACTTTACCTTGTGTCTGCAACCCTCACCTTTACCAGCATAAATGTGGAATTCTTAACTGTGAGTTCTGATATTATGACTTTTGCTCAAAGAGAAGATAGCTAAGATTCAAAAAATCTAAGGAGTGCCAGGGGAAATTTCCATCAGTAAACAGAAAATGTTAGTGAGGCATAAGAGAACTGAAGAATGTTGAGGAAAGATACAATGCCTTTGTATGAAGTGGTTTCCTTGTATTAAAGATTGTACCCCAATAAACTACGATTTGTCTATGGTATATCTATAAGCTTGTAAGAAGATAATTAAAATACTACACTGATGTGTATGTAAGGTAGATTATAAAACTGTGGGGAGAGCTCTCTTTTTTTTGTCTGTTTTTCTTACGCATATTATAACATTTTCGTTTTTTTAATTTTTATTAGTGAAACACCATGGGGTACAGTTGTAGACTTACAAACTTACAAATTTTTGTGCTTGGGTTTCGGTTATACAATGATCCAGTACCCATCCCTCTACCAGTGCCCATTCTCCATCATTTACTTTTTTATTTTTAATTTTTGTTAGTGAAACTCCATGAGGTACAGTTGTAGACTTAAAAATTTTTGTGCTTGGGTTTCAACTGTACAATGATCAAACACCCATCCCTCAACCAGTGCCCATTTTCCACCACCATGGGTCCCAGTTTCCCTCCCAGCCCCCAGCTCCCCATCCCACCCTGCCTGTGTGGCAGGGTATTCCCTTTTGTTCTCTCTCTCATTTTGGGTGTTGTGGTTTGCAAAAGAGTCATTGAGTGGCAATCATGTTTGGTCTATAGTCTACTTTCAGCATGCTTGGGAGAGCTCTCTTAAGACAGAAGATAAGTGAATAGGAATTCAGAATGTTTTATTTGAAAAAAAATAATGAAACAGTGAACAGTTAGGGCAAAATATGAGGTTTTGTGAGTAAGAGAAAATAACATACTTATGAACATTACTTTAAGATGGAAGGATTAAAGACAAGTCATTCAGAATAAACAAGAATGAATAGTTCATAAAGATTTTGTTCAGACATTTTTGAGTTATTTTATATTGATCTTCACAACAAGACAGCAATGTTAAGTACCATTACCAATTACTTTTCATGCTCACGCTAAGTGAATTGCTCAAGGGATGTACAGCTAATCAAGGGATAACGTAAAGGTAAAGGTAAAGGCCCTCCCATTGTTCGTCGATTTGCTCAAGCGGGCCCAGTAACGTCTCCATTGGAGACTTTTGTTGTTACTGTGTCGTCTCCATTGGAGACTTTTGTTGTTACTGTGTCTGGCATATCGAATACGTCACGGGGAGCTTGCCAGGCTCTGCCGTGCGGGCGAGATACTCTCGGTAGCTTGCCGGGCTCTCCGAGAGGGGCGGAGGAATTGAACTCGGGTCGGCCATGTTGGC